TGAGTGGTGAAAACACCAGTGTTTTTAATATTTTTTCTATATAATTTTCTGTATATTTGAAATGTTTTGTAGTAACAAATATTTAAGCAAGTTTAGGAGAGAAGGTTGATAAATGAAATCTAGAGGCCATCATAAACCAATTTCACCATCAAAGTATAATCATGTTTGACTATAATTGAAATCATGTGGCTGTTACTTTTTTTTTAATGAAAGCATCTTAAACATTTGCTTTTCAAAGCTGTTTTCTTTGATAATAACATACATTAACAATAATATAACATTGTGGACTTATGTTAGGTTCGGATCTGAAGCTCCTGCCTTGTACCAGCAAGGCTATCATGCCATACTGCCTGCATTTAATGTTAGCCTGTTTTAAGGTAAGCATAAAGTTGATTAGCCTGAAAAAAAGTTAATTTGAAATATGATTCTGATGACCTGAAATGACTTGATCCTTGTTAAAGATTGATAGTTTGGTACTTCTAAAGGGCTGGTTGGCCTAGTAGGAAAAGCATATAGGGTAGGAATTAACAAATGTTTATTAGATAATGACTTCACTAGGCCAAGAAGAGAAGGAAATTCTCCCAGTCCTTGAGAAGTTTACACATAATAGTGGGACAAATATGTAACAAGTAATCTTGCCTGTTGTGTTGGGGAAATATTTTATGAATTAATATGCAAGCCAGACTATATTAGCTATAGAAGAAGTTGGGTTCATAGAGGCATGGTGAGTTTGTTATAAAGCATTTTAGGCATTTGGGATCAAAACTAGTAAAGGCTCAACAGTTTGGGGAAAGTTGAAGGACTCTTGAAAGAACAGCAAGGCCTTTGGCTACAGGTAGAACAGACTCTTAGAATAGAGAAGCTTAATTGTTTCAAGAAGGTTTATGCACAAGAGAATAAAAACATTGCATCTCCACTTTAGTGCAGTAATTCCCAAACTTAACTCATCATCCGAATCCCTTGGGACAAGAGAAACAATTTAAAGTGTGATTTTATGCATACCTTCTTATTTAACACAAAATGTCCTTTGGCCATTCTCTAGTCCACACTCCAGCTTATTTCTTTGTGGCTCACTGCCTGCCTTTCTCCCTAATCCCGTATTTTCCTCAAACTCTTCTTTCCTGGGTGGCTTCCTGCCCACCTTCCACCCCAAACAGTCCCCTTAAAAGAAATCGCTACCTTTTTTTCTCTGTTACACAGGACAACTCAATGTTCTCTAGCCCTGATTCCCAAATTCAGAAACTTCAGGCCCACTCATGCACGTCCAACTCCCATCCACACACACTGCCAGCAACCTGTTCACAGCACAGAGGGAGTCTGGGCCGCCTTGGATTAGGATCCACTCTTCTTAGAAGGCAGTTGTGATGTTTGCCAGCACTTTTTCTGTTTTGTTCTCTTACTCTAATGACCTTTATTACACATTTGTATGTATAGCATTTTTAGGTGGTGATACTTGGTGTTTTTTAGACTACCCAGTCCTGTTCCTTCTGTGTCTTGCATAAATTCTTGTCTTGCAGCTTCGAGCTTTTACAGACAACAGAGATGACATGGCATTGGGACATGTCATAGTATTGCTTCAGCAAGAGTGGCCACGGGGAGAGAATCTTTTCTTGAAAGCTGTCAATAAGATTTGCCAACAAGGAAATTTCCAATATGAGAATTTTTTTAATTATGTTACAAGTATCCTTTTTCTTGTTTAAGCATAACAAATTCTGTTTTTTTTAGGATGCATGCATAATGCAAAAAGGAATGAACCATTCTGGGTAGAAATAATGGTTTTTACTATTTTGGGGAAAAAGAGAAGGAATGGGGATTAAAAATGGGGTGTGGCAGCTGGTCTCATGAAAATCATAAAAGGCTTCAAAGACATAATTCAAGGAATCAGGAATATCTCAACCCTGCTCCATTTTCCATTTCTAGTTGATGTCTGAAGGTACTCAAGATGCCTACAGTTATACCCTACAGGGTCCTGACATGTCTAGAGGGGCTTATTTAGCCATAGAATATAAATAGTTCCTCAGCCTTTATCTATCAAAAGACTGCCTCCTGGGGCCTATTGGGACATCAGCTGTCCCCTGGAATTAGGTGTTAGGGCACCATGCCATAGCTGTCATAGCTACCAATGAGTTCTCACCAAAGATGCTGCCCAACACAGTAGCTGCTTTCAAGGTTAGGCAATGCTTTATTTCACACTGTTTATTAGGGAAAGACCCTCTGTGAATTGAAGGTTACATGTCAGAGCAATTTTGCTCGTGACTATATGAAATCTGTTTATCATCTATATGAAAAACATGTTGTCCTCATGTCATTTAGCTTGGCAAATATTACACCAAGTTACCTGTATGAAGCAGTTTGGATGATATAAGTTTTGGAATTGGACAGACCTGGGTTCAAATACTGACTCTGCACTTGTTAGTGGGATGGTGATGGGCAAGTTACTCAACTGCTAAGAGCCTGTTTCCCTTGTTTTATGCGTGGTTAACCTGAATCTGGCCTGCAGACATTGATATGCTGGAGGAATTTGCCTACTTAAGAACTCAGGAAGGTGGGAAAATTCATCTGGAGTTACTGCCCAATCAAGGAATGCTGATCAAGTAAGCATACTCTCCTTTGTTCCGCCATGCTGAGTGAGTGCTCTGTTTCATGTAAATTTCTATAAACCTTTCAAAAATTTAATAGGAATCCAAACCTGGTCTCTGTTTTTGAGAGTCAGTTTTTGATTCTGGGTACCTTTTGAAAGACTTGCATTTCCTTAACTACATTTCTGAAAAAAAACATTGTTTAAATTGGGGTATTTCTGTCACTTTTGAAACTTTTTCATTAGACAAAGTCTCATTCATACCTTTTCCTTTCCAAAATTTACAGATTGATTCTGATTAGACATTAGAGTGCTTTTATTATGAGCAGCCGTGCTTAATTAAAGTTGTATACCGGATTAGGAAAAACTACAGATGTGTAAACTACATTTGAAGCCTTCCCATGCAATCCTCATTGCTTATATAGCATGAAGTGGGTCTAGTGCCTCCAAGAACACCCCTGCCCCAAGAAATGATGGTGGGAGTGCTTGATCTCAGGCATGCCCCCTGTACCCACGGGATGGTACTGAAATTCCAGGTTGGCCCAGATGAAAATGCCAAGTTAGTATGACCATTTATGATTTTTAAATAGCTCATAAATCCTGCTTCTATCCTTTAACCCTCATTGTAGTTTGGATAATATATCCTCTCTGCTGTAAATGCCACGTGTAGTTTTATTTTCATACTTCCTCCTCTGCTTCCTGCATATTCAGTGTGTCTGTAAGTCAGTGTTAGAGTTACTGCAAGAGACTGAACCCTGAATGAGAAGAAAGTACTGCTAAGGCTGAAAACATTCACATCTTGTTCTATCTTTGTAGAGTCTTAGAAATGTTGAGGGAGGGAAGTAAGAAATATTCTTTCTGGATTTCTGTAACTTCAGTAATTTGGTACATAGCAAACATTTCTTTTTATGTCCTAGCAAGAATAGTGTCTTGTGGAATCCATTCTCAAGAGTGGAAAGATTGTTTTTTCCCCTTTATCTGGTAAATGTTACTAAATATTCTAAATATTTAAAATGAAAGAACAAATGCTCTATTTTTAAATATGCAAGACCTTTATACATCAGGTTGCTTAGGCAAAATGGACTGGCATGCCCCATCTCCAACTTTCCTAAGATTGCGAACCAAAACTATGGAAAGGATAACTGCGTGATTCAAAATATTCTTAACAGTGTTTGAGCCTAACAGTTTTTGATATGGGAGCCCAGGTAACCCCTTTTGTGTTGTGATTTCTTTTCTAGGTTTTAAAACTGGATATACAAACATACCTTTAGTAAAACTTTTTAGTTAATTCCCATCAGCAATCACCAGGGTAATTATGGTAATATAGAGACAACCTTAGTAGAACTAAAGTCCGTGTACATAGGATTAAACCTATAGATGGTTATTGCTTTACTTAGATAATGCTTAACTGCTTGTGGAAGGGTGAGAGAATGGATTGTCAAAAAGTCAACAGTTGAACCTCAGACTTCATGGTACTGAACCTTTCTTCTTTTACTTGTTTTTACTGAGCTGACAGTGACATGCGACATGCAGATAATCCCCAGGATGAGGGATTAAAGGGTGCACTAGACACCCTGACAATATCCCTGGAAGGGGTTGTTTGGGGTTATTTGTGTAAAGGATACCATCATGCATTTCTAGGCTTTTGAAGGATAATTCCAGGTTCTCCCACCTTGCTGAATATAACCCTTAATTTCTTCTAAACTTTCTGTAGAAGACAAGCCTCTTAGGAAACCTGAAGTTTCATCAGTTTTGCAGCAGGAATAGGGACTGTTACCTAGTGATCTGAACTTTTAGCAATTTGCCCAGTCTTCACTGTGTGAGTCTCAAAGTTAATTACTTATGCTTAAAACTACAGCAGTAGAAGCAAACTGCATAAGACAGAGAGCTCTTACTAATTGAGGTATGACTAGAATCTTGAATAAAACTATCTATATTCCTTTTCCCTTTGGGTTCCATACAAATTCTCTGAAGCCATTGCAGACCTTTTGGGTGGTTCCTCCAGATGAGTGGCAGAGATGTTGTGAGCAGTGTACACTCCTCCCCTAGGTAAGGTTGTGAGTCTGCCATAGTTGTGGCATCTCGGATACAAGCAGGTACAGTACAAACACTGAGGGCACCTGGTGCCTGACCCAAAGGATGGATAAGCTCCTAATTTGTTATGTAGAACTTTTGCTCTTAAGTATTTTAAAATAGAGAAATATTTCTATGCTGATATTTGCAGTACTTTGGTTGCATTAGACTGGATTAAAATGGAAAACGATGTCCTATATAGGGTGGATAATGGTGTTCTATGAGGTGATCACCAGCTATACACTAAATCCTTGTTGTTACAGAATTCTGCAAAACCATGGGTTCCAGACTCTTTTTTCCCCCCTGCATCTATTCCTTTTCTCAATACTTTTTTGAAATTCAAACTCACCCTTTCTTTATCGAAAACATTGCCAGCCCTTCTAGTCCTCTTGGAAGGGCCCCTCCAGGTCGGGGCTTCAACCCTGTGAAAGATGGTTACCAAACATCCCCAGGTTGACTACTGGGATTGGCGTGGGCACAAGAAGAGTGGAAAGAGGCTGGCTTTGAAAATGTGTCTTCTCAAATGTTGACCCTGCTCCCCACTGCCATTCAACTGCATTCCATTGTCCTCTTCCTCACTGGTTGCTTTTTATACCAAATCTCAAGTGGGCTGAGCTCTGGGACCAGGAACCGAGATGCCTCTGGACATGCACCGGCAGCGGGTGCAGTGAGGGCTTGCTAGCTTCTCCCTCAGCTCCTAAAACACACAGCTGCGGCCAGGGGCTTGTTGAGGTTACCGAGTTTCTGTACAGTCTGCTTCCAGTCTTGTGTATTTTCTCTGGAGTGTTGTTTTTGCAGTGCAGGGTGAGTCGGTGTGGGTGTTTGAATGCTGCTGTTTGCTGTTTCTTAAAGGCCTTCTAGCCCTCCCATGGGGTTGCTGCAGCAGGAATTCTTACCTGTGCTTCAGCCCAGCATACAGACTGCTGACAGGTACCAAGTGGAACAAACACCTGCTCATAGTGTGCTGTTTGTCAACATGTTTACTGCCCATGGTTTTCTGCTCTTTGTTCCTCAGTGCTCTTTTTCATGCTTTATTTATTTTTTTAATTTGTTCTGCATTCCTTGGCAAACCATCTGGTTGTAATATTGTAACATTTCTTATTTTTTTCCATAAGTTGCCAGTGTGTTTGTGTTCGATTTAAAAATCATTATGGATCTGGAAAAAAAATTAAAGTTATATAAAATTGTATTAGATTAAGTGCACATTCGATTAGGTGCTAAAGTATGATTCTCCTTTGATAAAACTTAAGGCTTTTGGTCATAAATATTTAAGGGTGCTGAAGTTTAAGTAGATTTTTATTTCTGGATTTTCATATTAGTGACCAGTGCTGTTTGGGGTCTAAATAGCATTAGCACGGCTTTTCCTGCCAGTGATGCTGTTTTTTCAGACCTTACCATTCTGAACTGAAAATATTTGATAGGCTAGAATACCACATTTCTTAGCTGGTTTTTCCTGTTCTTAAGCCACAAAAGCTGACTAATTCTCTTCTTCAGTTAAACTACCAGAGGGATAGAGGCTCTAATATCAATATATTGAGTAGTGCCACTGTTTATGGAAACAATAGGATTGGACCATGATCAGCAAGATGTAACATTTACTTATATTTTTAGTATTAAGCCCTTTGGATGACTCTGCAAATTCCAGTAACTTCCACTTGGTCAGAGGGTTGACTCCAATCTGGGGTTGCAGCCTGGAACTTAGAAGAGCAGTGTCTCAGGGCAGGATACAATTGTCTGCATCTGTTCCCAGTGGGACTCAGCCTTGACCTCTCTGACACTGTATCCTGATCACTGAGCTACCTACCCAGACTTGACTAGAAATGTTCACAAAGAACTGCATTTTCTCTATGGCCCTGCTGTTTTCTGACATAGTTCTTTATGTCAGAAAACATCTATGGCATTGTAGAGTGTTCTGTAATAGCTTTACTTGTCTAACAAAGCCTGATTTTTTTCTTCTATTGCACTGCAACATTATGACTCCCATTGTTCTTATTTTATATGATCATATAAGTTTTAAAAAACACATTTTAGAGTGCTTTCAACAGTTTGATTTTGCCCAATATGTAAAAATCAAGTTTAAGTCCTTGTTACTTTGTCTGAGGGAAGTTAGACAGTAAGGTGGGGAATGGAGGTTCTATTTGTCGAAATCTACCAAATTGCTGAACCAGTAGTTAAAACTCCTTTCCTCTTAACTGAGCTGAGTGGTTTTTGATAGACTTTTCCTTTCTTTTCTTTATTTTGTTGTCTTCAGTTTTCCGGGATTTCGTTTGTAATTTCCTTTTCTAAAGCACAACCTTTGGGGCATAGTTAGAGACATTTTGCTTGGGCCCAACTGACTCTTCCACACATGTGCAGGTCTCCTCTGAGCATCTGGACAGATGTGGTCTCTGGGGATTCTGCCTCTCTCTCCAGACCTGGGCCAGGTTCTTGTCTCAGGAACCCCCAACCCTCCCCACGTTTTCTCAAACAGATGAGAGTATGGATGGCGCAGCACTTTAGAGGAGCTGCCTTGTTCTGGTGTCCTGGGAGAGAGAGGAGCTCACAAGCCGCAACTGTGTAGAACGAAAACCTTTCTGAGCCTCTCAGGGAACTCACTTGGGTGATTGGCTCTTTCTGGTTTCCCTCCTCTCCCTGCTGCTGCCTCAGGAGAGTCTGCTGCTCAGCTGGACACGAGTGCTTTGTGGCCGGTGTGGACTGGACCCAGTAGGCCCTAAGTAACTGAATTGTTACCAGTCAGCAGTAGGGATGCATAACATCAGAGCTTCAGGAACTCAAAAGCAAAGCAGGTGGCATTTTACCCAACACTTAAATGCTTGCAATAAATAACCTTTTCTAGAGTGGGGAAAATGTCTCTCTAGTTTTAAGTCTTTCGAAGAAGGAATGGGCTGGAATGTTTATTTGGTTACAGCTTTTCTTTTTTTCTTTTAAAAATGTGTTTTACTTATTTATATTTAGATGAGAGGCAGGCTTTATTCCTACCAAGTAGCAGTGATCAGTGATGCTGATGCTAACCTCTGTCTTCATCTGTTTCCCTGTCGCTGACCTCAGGCACCACACGGTAACTCGAGGCATCACCAAAGGCGTGAAGGAGGACTTCCGCCTGGCCATGGAACGCCAGGTCTCCCGCTGTGGTGAGAATTTGATGGTGGTACTGCACAGGTTCTGCATTAACGAGAAGATCTTGCTTCTTCAGACTCTGACCTGACTGGAGACCTTGCCACCAGAGCCAGCTCGTAGCTGTAAAATTTTGGAGGAAGACACACAGCACTGATACATGTTGCTGTCACAAACTCTTAAAAAGAAGAAGACCATCTGAGTTCTAACTCCTTGGTTGCTTAAAAGTAGTTCCCAAGAGTCTGAGAAACTATTCTATTTTTAAGAGTCATTTTTTTGTAATTTTTGTAAAAGAAAAAGAATCAACCTGTTTTGTAAATAAAAATCATCCTAAAATTTGAAGTTTTTAGAAATTTATTTTAATTCTTAAGAGTCTCTGAACAGGGGTGCATTTTTCTTCTACTTTTTGCAAACATACAGCAAGGGGAAAAAAAATCCAACACAATTAAATTGAGTAATGAATTTCATTGATGTGGAAACTTAAGACATATACCTTCCATGATTTCAAGATTTTATTTTCCATAGTTAGGCTTTTGATATGTAAATATTACATATCAACATAATATTAGACCCTGTCTTTTGAGAAGTTTTAATACCAAAAGTCTTTATGTAAATGAATCTGAGCCTGTCCTCTCCCACTGACAGTCCCTTGAAGGAGCAGTGCTGGGGACCTGCAGGAAAGCCCAGGACAGGAAGTAGAGAGCAGAGGAGAGGTGGGCAGGGGAGCTTCCTCTCCGTCAGGCCACAGAGGGGCCCTGCTGCTGTGCCAGGGCCACCCTCTGCCCCGCCCTTTATTTGCTATGCGACTGTGGATAGTTTAACTGCCCTGTGCCTTTCCTTTGGCAAATGAAGACAATAGCTCTTCCCTCACAGATGTTGTAAGGATTTAATGTTACTCCATGTGAAATGCTGAGAAGAGTGCCTCGCACATGGTTAGTGCTGGCCAATGCTAGCTATGAGGTTTATCTCTTTTTCCTTTTGCTCTTCATGAAATAATAGGCAAACATCAAAACCATTTGTTTCTGGGGGCTGTGTAAGAAACAAAGCTAAGAAGTTGTTCAGTGACTTTGCATAAAGTCTTAAAATTTTTTTTTCTAAATAAGATCCTTTTTATTAATATGTTAAAATGAAAGTGGTTTAAATAATAGACATTTGATTTCAAAAATATCAATTAGCTCATTTTGAAGTGTTTATCGGTGTAATATGAGTTTATTACAAATATATATACGTGTGTGTATACATATTTTAGAGACAAGGTCTCTTGTGTCGCCCAGGCTGGACAGTGCAGTGGTGTGATCATAGCTCACTACAACCTTGAACTCCTGGTCTCAAGCCATCCTCCTGCCTCAGCCTCCCTGGTAGCTAGGACTATAGGTGTGCGCCACCACGCCTGGCTAATATTTAAATGTTTTGTACACACGGCCCAAACAGAAACACAAGGAAGGGCTCACCTGAGGGAACGCTGACGTGAAAGCAGCTCAGCTCGGGTGCAGAAGGCACATTCCCCCCACCGGACATCCCCCTCAACACACACACACCCCACACGACACACGCACAGAATCAGCACACGGGCAGTTCCTGAGGCTGAGGACGCCCCTCGGATACACGACACATTGCCCCCCGGACATTCCACCCCACACACACGCCCGACATTCGCACAGAATCAGCACCCCCTGAGGCTGCGGGGTTCTGGCCCCTGCGAGGACGGCCCTCTGGGAACACAGCAGCCCACGTGCAGTCCAGCCCTCTGAGTCGCGGGGCAGAACTTTCAGGGAGACTCACAGACATCCCTGAGGCGGGCGTGAGACGGCAAAGGGTCCCGTGCTGCGCCCACACGGCTCCCGACGAGGTTCCTGGGGCCTGGCCGGCCCTCCTCCGCGCCTAGAACCCCGGGACCTTCCCATGGAACCGTCCTAGAGCCCAGCGGGCCACAGGCCACAGCGGTCTCCGGCCCGGCCAGGCCGCAGGCGCACGGTCCCTAGGCAACCAGGAGGGCGGCCGCTGTGACGTCAGCGCCACGCGCGTGCGCAGTCCCGGGTCGGCTGAAACTCCCGGATGTCAGGCTTTGGGAAGCGGGAGACTCGGGTGGGGTGTATAGGGTGGGTGAGGAGGGTGCGGCCAGGCGCAGGGCCGGACTCTAACCATCCTGTTTTCAGGACCCCTTGGAGCAGAGCTTTGGGTGGGTTCCCAGTGAAGGCCCAGCTTCGTGGTGAAGGGTGAACAGTCGAGGCCTCTTTGGTTCATTTTTCGGGTTGGATGGTGTGGACAGGAGGGGTCACATGGTGGTGAGGATGTAACGTAGTGAGGGGCAGTGGGTCCACTGGGGCACAAGAAGTTACCTGAGTCCCCACGTGCATGGTCAGCTGAAATTACACTACCCGTGTGTCCACTGCCTCTTTGTGGCCTGGGCCTACAGGATATTGGCCTGGTCTCACACCCCAGGGTCTCCTGCTTGTCCCCGCCGCTTTTCAGGAAAGGTGGAAACATGGACCTAGTCAAGTCCAAGGGACTGCAAAGGTGACCACAGGTGGGCCACACATGGAACTCGGTTCCCAGAAGGGCAGGTGGAGCGAGTGTGTTTCAGAAGCAGGACTGGGATATCCCTACACTGACAATGACCACAGGTCTGCTTCCAAGGGACACTGGAGACCCCAAGAGAGGGAGGGAAAAGCAAAGCATACCTGAGGCGACAGGGGCCTCTACTGGAATGGGAGGGAGGCTCTGAGAATCTTGCCAGAAGGCAAAAGAGCTTTATGAGAAGTACAAACAGCCCCATCTTCAACAACTGGGACCACTACCACCCCTTCCACCGACCGGCACCCACTCAATCCCTAGGTTCTTGTTCAGAGTGAAACACAAGGTAGCCAAAGGATTCTGCACTGATACCCAGACCTTCCACCCTTGTCCCCAGGAACACAGGAAGTAAATGTATACCCTCAACGACAACGAAAAGGAAAATGTAGATGAAATAAAATAACATTTATTAGAAGGCAATGGCCAGCCAAATGGGCTGGATGGAAGCTGCAATACTCTTTATGTTACAATATAAATGCTTCAGGCTGTTAATTTATTTCCGGTTATTTTAATAGCCTCAAAGAATTACCCAGCTTTCTCCAATGTTAATCTTTTTCTTTCTCGTAATAGATTTATATACCTAATACCCTAAATACAAGAAAGAAAGAAAAATCATACAGCAGGAAGAAAATACTTCTGGGAAACCTGAATGCTTGATATTTAATTATAGTCCTTTTATGCCATTTCTCTTCTCCCATTTTGTAAACTGCAGAAGAGATTTTATTGCCCCATTTTAACAAATGAGTTTTCAAAGTAAACTTAAAAATAACACTGAAAATTGCACCAATCGTATGCAGTGTATAGCACAAGGAACTTTCAAATTTAACTCAGCTATGTGTAACCAGCATTCACATCAAAAATGGAACATTATCGGCTCCTTGGAAGCCCTCTACATGCCCTGTAAAACAAGTATCTTACTCCAAAGGTATCCGCTATTCTGACTGCTAACATCATAGATTAATTTTAACTGTCTCTGAATTTCATGTAAGTACTCTTCTTTCACCCTACATTTGTTCTGTGAGATACATTAATGTTGGACATGTAGCAAACTTTTCCTGTAAATGGCCAGATAGTAAATATTTTAGGCTTTGAGGGCCTAAATTTCAGCCTTTGTTGCAACTAAACTTCACCATTATAGTGCCAAAGCAGCCATAGACAATGTGTAAATGGATGAGCACAGCCGTCTTCCAATAAAACTTTATTTACAAAAAGAGACAGTGGGCCAGGTTTGGCCCATTGACAAGCCCTATACTGTGGTTAATTCTGTGTACTGTTGATGGGTATTTGGGTATCTTCAATTTGGGGCTTCTTTAGTCTTATACATGTATTTTGATGCACATGTGTATGTATGGGCATAGGGTATCTGTAAGTCATTTTAATAGAAATTGCCAAACAGTTTTCCAAAGTTGTGCCATTTTGTACTGTTACCAGCAGGGCATGAGAGTTTCAGTTGTGGATTCTTGTGGGTGGGTGGTAGTATCATAATGTACTTTTAAATTTGTGTATCTCAGGTAACTAGGGAATTTGATAGGCTTATTAGCTATTTGGTTATCCTATTTTGTAAAATTCTTATTTAAAGCTTTTGCTCATTTTTCTATTGGGTGGTTTGATTCTTGTTTGCTTATTGAAATTCTTTAAATAATCTAGAAAAAAAGCACTTTTTGGATGTATACATTATCAATATCTTTTCTAAATCTATGACTTGATGTTTTGTTCTATTCTTCTATATAGTTTATTCTATTTATTAATGGCATTTTCTAGAAACAGCAATTAAGTTTAATGTCCAAAAAAGAAAAAAGACAAGTTTTTTTCCTTTTTGGTAAATTTTTTTTCCTGCTCTGTTTTAGGCATCTTTTGTTATGCCAAAGTCAAGAAGATAGCCTTCCACGCTTTCTTCTGAAAAAATTATGGTTTTACTTTTCTCCTTTAAATCCATACTTGATTTAAGAATTGATTTTTGTGTATGGAAACAGGAAGCTGTCATGATCCTTCTATTTCCCCCATGGGGCCTCTTTTACTCAGCACAGTTTATTAAAAAGTCTACCTTTTCCCCTATAAACTGCAATATCTTCTTTGTCATAAATCAGCTGACCATCATGTGTGCGTGGGTTTGTTCTTCGATTTCTGTTCTATTCGGTTGGTGTATATTTGTCATGTTTGCATCAATTCCACACTGACTTTATTAATTTACTTAATTTCATTGTAGTAAGTCTTGATATCTGATAGTGTAAATTATCCATCTTGGTTCATTTTTAAGATTGTCTTGTATGTTTTCATTTCAAGATTGACACGAGTGTTTATAACTGATACATCAAATTTCTTACAAGGTACTCAGTTTCTTGTAATAAAAAGAACCTTTAAAAATTATCCTTTAAGCTTTTGGTCTGTTCTGCTTTAAGACTATGTTGTTCAT